CGATCTCTGTCTCTCTCTCTCTCTCTCTCTCTCTCTCTCTCTCTGGTGAAACCGAAATCACGTTAGATAAGTTTCTCGCAGTTTCGAGGGAGACACGGGCCGCGGTCTGTGCGACACGTACATAGATAGCAGTGTAGAACACGATAGAGGGATGAAAAGATCCATTCGGCTACGATTCGCGCCAAGTTAGCGAAATCTGGTTGCTGGTCGAGTTCTAGCCGAGAGCTGATTCGCGTAGAGGTGGCCGACGATTTGCCAGACGGTGGACAGACGTATCTTGTTCGTTCATTAAACAAGTTTACCCGCCAGAGAAGAAGTTGATCCCCTTTCCGAAGAGGATCTTATTGGGCATCGTCGAATTTTACGTCGAATCTCTGTTAATTGAAGCGCGTGATCGTAAAAGTTGCCCTTTCGCGAAGAAAACTTGTTCTCGAAAGGATATTGTATGCTCGAACAAGCTGAATCGTTTGATTGTACCGGTTCTACGATTGTTTGTTTGGTTGCTCGTTTATCACGTATGCGATTCGTATTAATTCGAGTCGTGAAACTAATTAACCATTCGTGTGTTTCGATCAATTTCAATTTCAATGTTTTAAATTTGTATTAACAATTCCCTCTTTTCAAGAAGATTCTCAATTGAAAATTAAACAGGAAAGAGTTTTGCCAATTTGTTTACAATACCACGAAGAGAAATATTATTCCTTGTATATATTCACGTTGGTGTCCGATCCTCGATAGATTGATACGTTGTAATCACCACAGAGAGATGGGTGGGTAAACGTTAAGTCTCGTCCAACCCTGTTTTCGTTGGCTAGCACACCTCGAACGTAGCTCATCCCCGTGACAACGACTCTACAAACACTTGATGGATAACGAAATTAACCCTCGTCAGAGGCAAGGAGATTCTGATTTGGCTTTAGCATAACCGTGCTTGGACAGCTTGTTCAGCGAACCGGAATATGCCATTGCCACGAAATAAACCCCCTGTAAATTCAGCGAAACTTTGTTTCAGGAGTGTGTTGTGCAACTTGCGAGCAACCTGTGCTCTTTGCACGAAATTGTGCAAAAGAGCGTCTTGAACAAAATAATTCTTTCAAACTTGATTAAATTAATCATTCTGATCCTGAAAATTTTTAGAACGGCAAAATTTTAAAACATCTTCACCCCGCTTAATTCCTCAACGAATATTGTTGGAAGGCACGTTAATCGTGTCACGGGATACATGATCGAATAACGTTGAAGCCGGCCAACCGGTATATATATTCTACAAGGCCCGATTTTATCCACGCGAGAGAATTGCCATCGCGTATCCGGTTCTGTTATTTACGGCACAATAGGAAACAAATAACGTGACACGTGGATCTTTAGCCGGGCATCTAAGTTGCGCGTCGTTAACGCGTCCTTTGGCCGAAGAAAGACAAAAGATCATTATTATCGTCGATCGTGTCTGCGCGCTTACGACTCGCACAATGGAAGCCACGGTTGCGCAACCAACGGTTATGCGATTAATGTGCAACATTGCGGCGCGAAACGGGTACAGGAACAATGTTTCCACCAATGTGGAGGAGATGGTCCCTCTAAACGTCTGCCTTCCCGTTAACATTCGTCTTGGGTTCGGTCGTTCCGGATCTTCTAATTTTAATCCCCCTTAATCTTCCCGTGGAACGATATTCTTCTTGAAAATTGAAATTATGATAATTGTAACGAAACGTTGGATGAAATTGTTTTTTTTTTTTTTTTTTTTATTAGAACGTATATTTTAATTTGTCGTTTTGTCGATGGAATAAAAGAATTAATTCCAAGAGAGAAGAGATTTTTTTCTTTTCTTTCTTAAAAAAAAAAAAAAGAGATTTTCTGATGATAAAACAATTGGATTCAACAATGAAAATCTTGGATTGGAATCTCGATCGTTCGCCCTTGGAAATGGCGCCGATATTTGCATTCTCGATTATCGCTTTCGATTGTCTTCTTCAATAAGAATGTATGTACGTAAGTAGTTGCTTGTTCATTATCTTCTTCCTTTATTATAAACGATGAGTAATTGACGAGTTCGTGACGTAGCTGATTAAAACCAAAGTGTCTAGAGAGTTCATAAATTGGGGTGGGAGGGGGAGGGGAGAGAAATGAGTCATCGACCATCAGTCATTGATTCACCGTTTCCACGATCAAGTGTCGATCATAATCGCTTTAATCCTTAGTTTACGACTCTTATTTATTTTATATACTGTACGATTCTATTCAACAATTATGAAAATGTTCTCCCTCTTCAATGTTCACGAATTGTTCGAAATTTCGAAACAAATCGATAAAAATCGTTTCGTCTCAATTCTCTTGCTTGAATTGTAATAATAAATTTTCTCCCTCGTCCAAAAATCCATTCTCCTCTCATAGGAATCATAGGAAGGTTTCTTCATCTTTATACGAAAAGCGGAGGAATTGCGAGCGGAAGAAGGAGGGGAGGGGAGGGTCGAGGATGGAAGGGAAACGGCCGCGTACGTGTTCTTCGTTACGTGCGATTCAAGGAACGCGTTGGAATGTTTATCATGTGGCGTTAAAGTATTTATGCTCGGATAGGTTGTATTTCGTATTTGACCGTCGTCGTGGTTCTCGACTTCCTGCTATTCTTACAGTATCGATATACCGAGAAATATATATATATATAAGCGAGCTCCGCTGTGCTTATATACCGTTATTATAACGGAAAGACAGTAGAAAGTTATCGATCCCCGGTATGGTTCGCCCGTGACTATCGTCTGGCCGGTAAATAAGCAAAAAGTTCTTTTGTGACTTTTATTTTTCCAACACGGTTTCGATGAGTTCTTGCCTCGGAAGTAATGTAATAAAGCCTCTCCTTTGTTTCAGCCTTGCCTCGTTCTTTGGGTCCGATTTGCGGTCTTTCCCTTTTTTTTCTTTTTTTCCATTCGCGGCCGATTTATTGTGGGAAGATATTTATCTGGTCTGACGTTCGAGGAAACGTTGGATCGTCACGCGACCTAATAAATGGATATTAAACGTATTAGGACGAATGGATCGTTTGACTCGCGTTTCTTTTACATATTGCAATTTCATCAGTATTGGCGAACCGTGACATCGTATTTAACACCTTACGGTTGAACAAATTTTTGAATAATTTCTTCTCACTTTACTCTAACATTTCTATTCAGATTCAATTGTTCTCCCCTCTTCTTATTTCGATAATAGATTACATTTTACATCGTAAATAAGCACAAAGCCTCGCGCTTTAAACATGGGAAATAATTTGATTGCTTCCTGCTATCCTTACCTCAAAAAAAAATTACCAACCCAAAGAAATTAAGCCGACAAGTCGCGACGAAGCTCTCGATCGAATTTCCCGCGAAATGAGAAAATCTCGCGAAGAAGGAAAGGAAAGGAAAGGATTGTCCGTGAATCGAAGGGAGAAGTGTGGTGGTGCACGCGGATCGCATTCGTAATCGCCTCTCCCTCCCCGCTTTCAGATTTCTCTGGTTAAGAGGCGCGTTTGTGCGCGAGTCGGAAAACAGGCGAGGTGGTAAGAGCGAATAGCCTTCTTATTCGCTCGAAACGCGCGCGTTACGACGCATTCCACGATCCGTTCTCGCGCTTCCTTCCACCCCCTCCGCGATAATCCCTTTTCCGTTTCCAACGCCTTCAAGCTTTTCGCGCTCGATAAGATCGAAGGAGATAAGAAAGAACACGCCTCTTCCTTCTGCGTCTCTCGAGCAGAGTGATACAACAAAGTTTGCGTGGAAATTCGTCGTGGAATTTGAAAAGAAAAACGTTGATTCACGATTGTTGCGGGTTTATGTATGATATATATGCCGCGTGAATCTCGTCTTTGTTCGCGTGTGTACAGAGACGCGTGGAAATTTGGCGCGTGATTAACTGTCCGATCGATTCGAATGTGGAAAGTCGAATGTGTTTTATCCAGTGTATCACAGTGCATCTCGATTTGTCGGTGCTCGTGCGAGTTCTTCGGTTCTGTGGCGCGATTCTGAGAAGCTCGATAAGCTAAATTCAGGTTACACCCTACTTGATCGATCTTTCATCTTGCTTTCTGATCTCGTCTCCTGGATACCGGTTTGAATTGAATTGCGCGCTGGATTTACTATAATCTAATAGTGGATTTATTATCGTACAATTTATTCTCTCGAATAAAAATTCGTTTAAAACGAATTATTCGTACGAAGATACCTGATCGATCAACATGATCCAAGAACATGATCGTCATCCTCCAAAAATATATATAGTTCTTTTTTCGTTTTCAACTTTCCACGAGATATACCGATTTATTCGATCTTTGTAAACGCATCCTGGAGCAACAACGTCGATGCAACTCGGCATTCGTGAGTGGGAACAGTGTTTTCCCACATTAATATCCAGTGGAGAAGCCACTCGAATCGAGCGGGCATCAGTTGTGCCGTGGAGGAGAGCCTCACGTGTGTGCACCTGCACCGATCGACGGTGTCAATATTTGCGGAGGCCGAGCGGAAGTCGCCTTGCACTCCTTGCACGCGAGATGCACCGTTGAAGAGGCGAGGAGACTCGGTGTGTACCGATCCTCCTCGATGATACGCCATCGTGGAAGCAAGGTTTTTTTCCAAGTAGCGTGCCTGAAATGAAAGTATAATTAGCAACGAAATCGCTATTATATGTATACTCCGTATCGAATCCTTCTTTCAATTTTCTCGAAACGACCAGTTTCGAGTAATCTCAACGACTCCAGTTCTCCAAATTATGAAATCGTGAGTAAGGCAAAGTGTACCCGAGGAACGTGTATTAATTTTGGAGATGATTCTCTATAAATTGCAGCTATAGTGAAAATTTTAAAAATGGAACGAACAATGATCTGGATAGTGAATGTTTTCTTTCTACGTGACAAAATTTTAGCAGTTTTGAAAATTAGATGAATCGACGCAAAATTGAACGAATCGGACGGAGAATATCGTGTTTCCATCGTGTTCCTCGATTTGGTGTTTACGAAAGTTCTGATTAATCTCGAAGGGAAAGTTAAGTGAATTTGAACGAAAAAATCGGCCAAGTTGTTCCGCGAGCGAGTTTAGAAGCAGCCGCGTAAGTGGCAATTTGAAATTGGCGGAAAGTTACGACAGGCGTGTCAACGAAATGGGATGTCGATACGAATTTTGAAACGGTGTATCGAACTACCAATGGCTGCGTTCGATGGGTGATGCGATTTCCATTTCCACAAGTTGAGTTGGGCAGCCAGTCATCGGGATTATTACGCGTATCGCGATTAACTTTATCGAAGAATCGTTATTCCGGATTTCACCGGATTTCAAGAAATTGGATTTACCTTGCGGGTAAGTCGCTTAGAAGAAATAACACCGGCAATCGAGTCGAGCAATTTACCAAGGTGAAATTTACTCTCTTGTTAATCGTATCACGTTTCGAGTGATAATTGTATTAATCGTGTCGAGAGAAAAACAACCAATTCAAATGTATACTTGTCGTATGAAAAATTACTTCGAATCGTTATGGAGATAAGAATTAGAAATAATAAGAAATTACGAAATTAATTCCTTCCAGAAATGTAGTATATTATAAAAATCGAAAATGTGAGTTTACCTTTCGCTTCATCAATCGAAGAATTCTTTGTTATTAAGAAATCCGTGTTACTTGAGAAACGTCGAGCGCCCAAGATGCATCGTCCATCCTTGTGTATGAATGATCACGAGCGTGATGGATTTGCATTCTTGAAAAAAGAAAAAGAAAAAGAGAAAAAATGATGGCAATTGGTGGGAAGTCAATTAGAGGAGTCGATGATAACTTTGCGAGGTCTTACACTTACGTCATGGGCTCTGTATCATGCTTGTAAAATCACTTGGTCATTTCCTTTCGAGATTCTTTGTTTACACGTGTACGTGCGTGAATATTTCTGAATAACGAAACACGCGAATGATTATTACTCGCACGTAATAACGTAATGTTGCCGGGTACACTGACTTATTGGTTTCTTCAAACGAGATTCCATTATTCCGCAAACACGCGTTGAATCCTTCGATTTGCACGCAGGATTAAATTGTTTTAGATTCATCCATTTCCAGATATTCGAATGTTTCGATTCGGGAAGATTCGAATATAATGAAAAATATCGATTTATTAATTTTAGATTTGTTATTGGTTGGACTTCCTATTCTTCCAAGAAAGAAAATAGAAGAAACAGCTTCTATCCAGATTTTCTTTTACATGCATTCGATGCAAATATTGTCGTCGGTATGCACCATTTTTCTTCTGTACTTATCGAAAATCAATATTCGTCATACTTCAATTTTTAGTTGCTACGTAAATATTTATGGAATGAAGATTCCGATAAATTTTGATAATTTCTTTTTTTTTTATCACATTTCACACACAAGATGATAAGATTTCAATGTGATTTAATCGTTACTCGCGAACTTTTGGAAATCTAAATTTTTATCGTTCCAATAAAATGATATCAATGAAACAGATAGATGCACGACGATTCCAGACGAGCATGTAAAACAGATTTCCAATATTTATTCCCCAAGTGTCATGATCATTATTCAAAAAAATACTCTATATCACGTCACAATGCGCGCAATTTTTGTATTATCCACGAACAGTCGAATTCCATTCGAAATGTTTCCTCGTTATAGCGTGTAATATTATACATCGAACATCCGTGACGAAAATTCCCGATACACGTACGATATTTTATCGTTCGTCACGGAATATTTTGCAACGTTCAAACGTTTGCACTGTTACGCTCTTGTTCAAAAATAATCGTGTAACGAAATATGAATCTATCCAACAACTTCGACAATTTCTTTAGACCGAAAGAAAAATTTTATTTCAACCTAACATTTATTTATTCGACGCTTACCTCATTTTTCACTGTTATCTATTTATTTATTTCTCCACAAAGAAATCTTCAGAATCCTATTATTCAATCTTTAATTGAACACGCTTTTGAAATCTTTAATCTCTCCTTGCCTCGAAACGTTTTCCACGGATATTCCACAAAAATCGTTCATCTCGCGGTGGAGGGGCAGCAACGTTCGTTCCTTGAATCGGGCAGAGTTTGGACGGATAAAAGCGATTGACAACAGGGGAGGAGGGAAAAATACGCGATTTTCGTTGCTCGCGTGTTTCGAGCGGCTGCATGCGACACGCACGTCCGACATCGTGATTTACATTATTGGTCGGTTGCCAACATTGTTGGGCCGGTGTACTGTGAGTCTAGCCGTACCCTCCCGCCCCTTCCCCTCGTCCCTGGCCGCATAGCATCGCGTGCGACGCTTCCTCTTTCGCGGTCGCGAGGATGACGACTGGAAACCACGATTTTCTTTCCTTCGTCTCGGCCACGATCTTGATGTCGTTAAACATCTTCTCTGATAGGGGAGGAACGAAATCTAAGAATTCCTGTATGGCGAGCAAGAGTTGGCTTCCGTTCAAATGTGATTGATTGTGATCTCTTTTTGTAATTATTTAGAAACTGTTATTACGATTTTAATCTATTAATTTACTCGTTCATATTGTAAATTATTTTATAAAAATAATTGAAATATGTTGAAATTAATTTTTAGAGGCAAATTTTTTCTTTGCCTATCCGTCAGGCAGATTAAATACGGATCTCGATGTGGCTCTAACACGTTCGCTCGAGCGTGATGTAGAAATCAGAAGGAGATAGGAACCGATAAGAAAGTTCCGTGTCTTTAATACGAGAAAAGTTGGCCCGTCGCGTGAGAATGGGAGGGCCATCAACCATGGCCTTCCTCGGCCCCAACGCTTTCTCGCAATCGCGGTTTCTTATATTCCTCCCTTTATGCGATCGTTGATGAGAAATATTGAAAAGTAAGGGCGGCCATCACATCTCGCTACGAAACTTCTCGAGGATATTTTCTTGGATGCAAAAAATTCCCTCCCTCTGCAACTTGGGGAGAATTCATCTGTAACAGTGAATTTTAAACTTTTTCTCGTCGTTTTGAAATATATATATATATATCTCATCACTTTGATAACTTTTTATCGCGAAGATAAATCGTGGAAATTAGAAAATCGTTCACGCGCGAGCTGATTTTTATTTTAAATTGTTCGAACGATATTTAAAAATTGGAGAAAGTAAAATTAAAATTAAATATGCGTCTTACCTTTTCTCCAGAATTTCATTTTCTCTCGTATTTCTTCCGAAAAAATTAAGTAGAAAATTTTAACCGAAGAGGGCAGCACAATCCAGACTTGGTTCTCATTTTATTAAAACGACTCTATCGAACCAACGATGATGTCGATCGATATTTTCCTTCTTCTCTCACGAACGAAACATCTCTGAAACAAATTCCAATACGGTTAGATATCCAGCTTTCATTCGTGGTGTTGTAGAACCAACATCAAG